GTATATTGATAAAAATGTAAAAGTATTCTTCTATTCCTGTTTAAGATAATTTGTATATTGATACAAATACAAAACTATGTCATATTGTACATATGTCCTGTTTGAAATATTTCATATATTGATACAAATGTAAAATTATATGTCAAACTGTATATATGTTCTACCTGTTTAGAATATTTTGTATATTGATATATGTTAAGGATATTGTTGTCATAATGCACTATACATTTCTATCTCTGATTAAGATATTTTTGTATATTGCCACAACTTTGAGATCATTGTCCCTATGCTGTACATCTGTTTACAGATTGTTTTGAGTTTTTTGTTCTTTTTTTTTCCGGTTTTTTGAGACAGGATTTCTCTGTGTAACAGTCCTGGCTGTCCTGGAACTCACTCTGTAGACCAGGCTTGTGAATGGACTAGATATTGTTAATGTAATTCTGGACTGTATATATTGTATATACTTATTGTATATGCTTTATCTTATATTAGTTATAAGCTTCCTTTATTATTTAGACAAAAAAGGGGAAATGTGGTAATATTGTGTCCCCCAATATATTGTGCACCCTAATAAACTTATCTGGGGTCACAAAACAGCCACTAGATAGACATAGAGGCCAGAAAATGGTGGCACACACACCTTTAATCCTAGCATTACAGAGGCAGAGATCCATCTGGATCTCTGTGAGTTCAAAGCCACACTGGAAACAGCCAGGCATGGTGACACAGGCCTTTAATTCCAGGAAGTGGTGGCAGGAAGCAGAAAGGTATATAGAGAGTGAGGACCAGGAAGTAGAATCTTGTTAAGTTTTTAGGCTTTTAGCAGCAATTTAGCTGAGATTCGTTTGGATGAGGACACAGAGGCTTCCAGTTTGAGGAAACAAGATCAGCTGAGGAACTGGAGAGGTGAGGTTAGCTGTGGCTTGTTCTGTTTCTCTGGTCTTTCAGCATTCACCCCAATACCTGGCTCCTGGGTTTGTTTTTATTAATAAGACCTTCTAACAATTTGTGCTACACAAGCTTGTCTCAAACTCACTGAGATCTGCCTGCCTCTGCCTCTCAAGTGCTGGGATTAAAGGTATGTACCATCCCACCTGGCTTATAGATTGTTTATTTTTATAATGTGAAGCCTTAGTCTTAAAGTTACTTAGGTTGATAAAAATTACAAGTTATTGGTCAATTTATAGTCATGTTTATAGTCATGTTAGTTATGTTTTCAAAGTACACAGAAAGACATGTCAGATGGATAGGTAATTTTCAAACACTTCATAGACCCAGAGAATAGGGTATTTAAATGTTTTAATACCTTATAATTTCGTTGATGTGAGACACAGTTGATCCTGGCAGCACCAATCAACTCCTGAGAGAACGCTGGATGTTGAAGACACTTTATCTGGAAGTTTGTCTTCTTGGCACAAAATGTACTGCTGGGCAAAATACCGCCCTTGCCTATACTGTGGACAGTATGAAAGCTGTCCTTTCCAGACAAGCAGAACCCAAGGAAAAGAAACTATTGAACATTGCCAAGACAGGGTAATATGGTCTTTCAAAATTTCTGCTTCTGAAAATGGTCTGTCAGATATTCTAGGCTGTAAGATGAATTGTTAAATGTTCTTATTAATAAAAAACCCAGAGCCAGATAATGGCATGAAAACTGAGGAATCAGAGAAGAAGTGTAGATGAATTTCTAAACAATTTTATTAAATAAGAAATACAGAGCCAAATACAGAGATAGTAGCCAAAGAGATCAGAGAACTAGCAAAGAGTCACGACTACCTTATCTTACCACCTCGTCACCGTTGCTTCCCCAGAGAGAGCTTCTTCCTGTCTAACCTGTGTTTTTATTGCCTTTCTGTTCTGCCTTCTCATTGGCTCTAAGCCCAGCCACATGACTTCTTTGTCACTGCCTGTCTATACAGACCTCCAGGTCTCTATGGTTGGTACGGGATTAAAGGCTCCTGTCACCACGCTTGGCTGTGTCCTAGATCACACAGAGACTCTGCCTGCCATGTGATTGAATTAAGGGCATGCGCTACCACTGCCTGACTTATGTTTATGGCTCGCCGTGTGACCTCGCTATGTGACCTCTGATCTCCAGGCAAACTTTATTTATTAACATACAAATAAAAATCACATTTCAGCACAATTAAAATATCACCACAAAGCAGAAAAAAAACAGCCACATTTTTAACAATAGGAAATCCTCAGCCAAGAGAAAGCTATTTCCTGTATACTCACACCTATAAACCTTTCTGTGCCCTGTCATCCTACTTCTTCTCTCTGCCCAGCTACATCACTTCCTCTTTCCACCCAGCTCTACCACTTCAGTCTGTCTGTACAGACCTCTAGACCTCTATGGTTAACTAGCATTGGGATTAAAGGCATGTGCCACCATGCCTGACTCTGTTCCCAGTGTGGCCTTGAATTTACAGAGATTTAGATAAATCTCTGCCTCCCAAATGCTAGGATTAAGGGCAAGTGCTACTACTGCCTGACCTCTATGTTTAATATAGTGGCTGGCTGTGATCCCCAGATAAGCTTTATTGGGGTACACAAACAAAATATCATCATAATAGGCCTGTAGCCAAATTGATGACCCAAAGGTGCTGAGAAACTTTAGGTGACTATCCAGGCTGCCTACTGTCTCTGTCTCTTCTTGCAAGATTTTTTAAAATTGCTTGCATGCATTTCCTGTTTTCTTAGGTATTATTATGTTCCATCTCTGGTCTTTGATGGAGTTGAAGACTAGATAGTTATAGTTAAAATCTTTTCAGATCTTAGCTAGAACATATTAAGAACTAGATTTAGATTCTTCAGGATAGGATAGCATTTGAAAGGACCTATTGTAACATGCCATTTACCTCTGGATTTTAGTATGTTTCTCTTGTTTGATGTTGTTCTTGCTGGTGGTAGTTCTATTTTTGTTTAGGTTACTACTTTTCCCCTCTTCTGGACAATATTTGATAATTGTTCCTATTGCATATAGTTTAGGATTAGGTTAGAACTTTCTTATTTAGGCAAAATGAGGATGTAGTGGGTAGCTGTTCTGGCTTTGACCTTAAAGCACCGTCCCTAGAGAGGGAGCATGTAACTGCCCTACCTGTCCATGATCTTGAAGTACATTCCCCCTGGGGTGTGGACTCTTGAGTCCCTTAAGAACTGAGATGCATCTAGGTGGTGGTCTCTCTCCCATCGTGGTTTTTGGGTGCTTAAATGGACCAGGCAGAAGAACAGCATGGATCATAGCTCGGCTTTCCAGGACCCTACAATAAATCTCCCCTGTTGCAGTGAGTTTTATCCCTAATAAATTTCTTACTCTTTAATCAAACTCCATGGATTTATCACTTTAGCTTGCCACTCAAATCAGCTTGGCCCCAGAGGCAGCACCTTAGACACCACCAACATGATCACAGGTTATGTCCTAGACTTTGGGCACCTGTGTAGCCTTTGGTGGCAATATGGGCCACAGACATCAACACAGACTCTGCCTATGGTAAGCAGCACAAGTCACTCAGATCAGCATGACCCATGAGGCAGTGTGGCACTTGGATACCAAAATGGCCCTTGGTAGCAGCTCATATTACAGGCCTCTTTAAGACCCTCAGTGGCAACAGGAAGGAGTCACAGACATCATCACAAGCCCCCTTGGCTACTTCAAGGCCTTGAACCAAGACGTGGACCTTGACAATACCCGAGGTCCAGGCATCACCTTGGACTCTGATGGTTAGCAGACCATTGATGGCAGCTTCTTTCTCTCCACCTTCACCTCTTCAGATTCTCCTCTCTCCTCACAAAGCATTCTGCCTCTCTCTCTTCTATTTCCCCACCCTGTACTTGCTCACCGTAATAGTGCCCAACTACCCAGTGCCAGGATTGTGGTTGGTTATGACCTCCCAGACTAAGAGGTCTTGGGGGAGCCATCTCTTACCATCCCTCACTTGGGCCAGAAAGTGCAGAGTTGGCTTGTGGTTGGTTGTGTGCCCCACCCCCACCCCGGTATGCAAAGAGGTCTGGGAGCCTGACTGTACTTTTTTTTTTTTTTTTTTTGTAGAAATGATACTGAGTCTTTATGAAAAAAATGAAGACTGTATTTTTTTTTTTAATCTATGGAACTCAGAAGTCTAAAAGCAAAGGACACAGTTATCAGAAGAGCAATTTCACCCATTTATGGTAGTATTTGCAATATTAGAATATAATTAGGTCATGTATAGTCAGAGTCCAAAAGAAACTGATCTTCAGGAAAGCACAGCACACCATGGAATTTTATGAAAGAACACACTTGAACAAAAAGAACACCGTGCAAACTTCAAATTTAAGATTATGGGATGAATGTTTGTCAAGGACTTTAAACGCATGCTCTGTTCAAATACTGCTTTTTCTCACATGTAACAAGATGCATCTGTGTCTGCTGTATGAAGCAGGTAAACCTGCACAGACATATGATTTCAGATATGTGCTAATTTAAATATGCACTCTGGATATCATTTTCCTGTATCCTTGCAGCAGAAGGAAGGAGAGAAAACAGGCATTAAACACATCGGAGTACTTAAGAGCTAAATAGGACGAATGAATCTTTCATCATACATAAACAATTTAAACTCTTCAAAATACAAAGATGTATACTTCAACATGAACTCTAAATTCGCAATTGTTTCTCAATTTCATAAGCATATCTAAAACCAAAGGGAATCCCTCCGTCCAATGTCTTCTGATATGATAGTTCACAAGTGTAGAACTGTAATATTTAAACAAGCAACCCCATGTCCAAGTACAATACCACAGCTGTTACAGGTATGACCTTACAACTACCATATGTACTATATATGAAATTAAACTAGCAATAAATATACTTCCACAATTACGCTGTGAATGATAGAACTGATGATGTTAGTGAAAAACCACTATCTTAGCTCAAGAAGATTAAGAGGACAAGCAGATAGGGGTATTTCTAATAGGAAAGGTCATTTTTGACAGAAACACAGAAAGCACTCTTTTTCCACTATGTGGGAATGCTATGGAACATTTATTTGAAACAGTGACAATGGCAGAACTAGATATTCTAACTCCACTGTAACACTTAAAAAATAATACAAAGATCGCCCCTGCAGCACAGTGTAAGATTTCAATGCAGCTTACACAAGGTCAAACAAAACCGAGGACTTGCTGCTGCTCTGTCCAACACTTCAGTCCTACCCAAGTCAGATCCAAATATTGGTGGTCCCAAGAGATTCACTGAAATAGATCATTGTGAAATAAAACATTAAAAAAAAAAAAAAAGACAAATCAAGATGCTTCAGTAACCATATGTCCAACTCAATCAACTTAAATGGGTTTTATTTGCTTCCCACTAACAAATCTTTATTTCCATTCATGAGAGCAGTAAGTCGACCATATTCAGCTTCCTTGCCCAGTAATTCAAAGGAAAAACCCAAAAAGATTAGTAAAGAAAAATGTAGGAATTAACACCCCCAAATTTTTTAAAAATGTTTAAGGTTGAAGAGTGTTTTAGGTTTGTACTTCCTAGTAGGAAAACATTATCTGAATGAAGACCCTAATGGCAAACCACTGTAAAATGCTTCAGCCGCAGTTGATGCAGAAGGGTAGGGAGAATCTTCGAAGCACCCCAGCTCTCCCGATGAGGTCAGAGGTACACTGGTTTGTATTATTGCAACATCCAGTAAGTGAGCTAAGCTGCTCTTCATTCAGCAAGGGCTCTGCTTAACATTACGCTTGACCTCCAAACTTGGCTGACAATTTACTGATGAGATTCATAACCTTTGGGTTGCTCTGATATTTTGACATATTTGCTGGGTTCTGGGCCACATCCTGGAAAGCCACCATGACTTCTGGATCCTGCATGGCTGCAAGAACCTCTGGATCACTGAGGATTTCATTGAGTCCAGGCATTCCTGCCATCCCAGGCATGCCCGCTCCCATTCCAGGCATTCCTCCAGGGAAATTACCAGGCATTCCCCCAGGAAAACCACCTGGAAAAGAGCCATATTGAGCTCCGGACTGTCTTCTGGCTTCTTCTTCCCTCTGGGCTCTCTCATGCTCTTCTCGAGCCTTCTTCACCCTTTCTATCCTTTCTTTTATCTCTCGCTCTTCACGCTTTCGCTCATATTTTCTCCGATGTTCAGCAATTTTTTGAGCCCGAGGTTGAACCTCTTTCAGCATTGCACTGGCATCCTCATCATAATCCAGTTTACAGGCAAGGGCAAGGTCATGAGCTGCTTCTTCCCAGTGACCTAGCAGTCTGTGTGCTTTCCCTCGCCATTTGTATGGCTGAGCTGAGTCAGGGTTTATTTCAATGGCTCTGTCACAGTCTCGGATGGCAGCGTTTGGCTTCTGTAACTTGATGAACACACTGGCTCTCTTGGCATATAGGATTGCCAAGCGAGGATTTAGCTTGATGGCATCAGTGAACAAGTCAATGGCTTTCTGCAGCTCACCATCGTTTAGGGCCTCAATGGCAGCCCCCTTCTTTTCATTTGCTTGATCCATCATCTCCTCAGTGATCTCTGCATTATCATCTCCCATCTCTTGAGGGGCATCAGTGTCTGGCTCAATTACACCCTCACAGTCAATTTCTAGATCACTCTCCTCACTTGATAGTTCATCCGTCTTTATGTTTTCCTCTGTCTTAGTATCTCTTTTTTCTTCCTTGGTATTTTCTTCTGTCTTAGTTTTATGAGTAGCAGGTGGTACTTTACCCCCCATGCTCTCCACCCACTCCCTCAGGAAACGCATTTCCTCGGTGTGCAGGACGCTCGGATCCTGCTTACACATCTTCACGAAGGCCCGAAGCTCGCTCACTTTGCGGGGATCCATGGTCGGGAGGCGGGAGGCGGGAGGAGGCGGCGGGCGGCGGGCGGCGGTGGAGACCCGAGGCCAGGCCCGGGCGCGGCTCAACGTGACCGAGTAGAAGGGGCCTGACTGTACTTTTAAATTTAACAAAACATTATAATCAAAGGCCCAACTGTAAGGACACAGACATCCCAAGGATGATAGTTCCCATCTTTGCTGTCTATTGTCATTCACTGAAAACATCATTTACTACTTCGTGAATAAAACAATGATTTTCCTTTCAGACAATCCAGAGTTTGAAATACTTTTAAAATGAAAATTACAATAGCAATAAATATGACTTAGACATTTGCTCACCATTATCAGTATTATTGTATTTGTAAGATTAGGTTGTGGTAACAAACTCCAAATATGATATCTGATGGTATAATGTATCCATTCTCTTAAAGCTTCCCTCTAACATTTTTATTAATTTTCAGTTTTCCAGTATGAAGTTCTTATCCACAGAACTAGAGAAATGGCTCAGTGGTTAAGAGCACTTGCTGCTTTTGCATTGGACCTGTATTCAGTCCCTAGCACTGACATCAAGTAGTTTGCAACAGACTTTAACTCCAGTTCCCGGAGACCTGGTGCCCTCTTCTGGCCTTTGAAGAAACATGCATGCGTGTGGTGCATCTACCTTCAAGAAAGCATGCACAATACTCTTAAATAAAAGCAAATAATAATAGAAAAAAATTATCCAGGACATTGTCAGTTTCAAGAAGAAGAAAGAGCATAACTCCTAGAAACCATGCTGGCATAGGAATTTTATTGCAAGTATTTTGGAGAACATCTAAATGTGATTTTGTGGGGCATCTGCCATTGGTAAAATGATTGAATTACAGGGTATATATTCAGTTCTCGTGGAGACTGCCAAATAGTGTCTAAGTGACTATAGTATTTCACACCTCGTTAGTACCACATGTCCTCCCAAATCCTCACTTATATTTGCTATTTTTCATCTTTCACATTTTAACCCTTCTAGAAGTAGGATAATATTATATTCTGGGTTTAGTTTACATTTCAATAAAGACTTTTAGTGTGGAATAACTTTTTATGCACTTGCTGGAATTTGATACCATCTTTTGTGAACTGTCTTTTCAAATTCATTGTACATTTTTAAAAAATTGTGTAGGCTGCCTGAATCCTATGGATTTGTAATTGTTTTCATACACTATCCTCCCTTTGCTGATTGCATGTGTGGTTAATGCTTTCTTCCACTTAGGGAGTTGCCTTTTCCTTCCTCCAGTGATTAGGAGGAGGAGCTTCTAATTTTAACATAGCTTCATTTGTCAATATTTAGTTTTAGTTATAATATCGTGTCTTGATTAATAGATGTTTACCTATTCTAAGACTGTGAAGACACTCTCCAGGTTCCATTCTACATATTAGTTGTTTTATCTTTTACATTTGTACTTTAAATATGACTATAACTTTTTTTTTAATCTGGTATGAGATAGGCATTGGCTAAGGTCATTTTTCTGTATTGTTATATAATTTTTTGACACAACTAATGTAAAGATTATACTTCCCTTTACTGAAGTTTACTGACATCATTCTTAAAATTTAAGAAATTTTGAAGATTCCCTATTGACTCTTATGAGGTATATTTTCTTTGTTCTTGATTCTGCATTGTCTTATTTATTATATAGCTTATTATCTAGTGTCATAGTTAGGGTTTCTGTTGACCTAAGCACCTTGGGGAATAACGGGTTAATTGCACCCACAATTCCATATAACAATTCATCATGAAGAGCAGTTAAGGCAGGAACTCAATTGTAGGGCAGAAATCTGGAAGCAGGAGCTGATACAGAGGCCATGGAAGGGTGCTGTTTACTGGCTTGCTCAGCATGCTTTCTTACAAAACCCAAGACCACCTGGACCCTCAAACATCAATCATTAATTAAGAAAGTTAAGATAATTTAAGAAAATCTGCTGGAAGCATTTTCTCAGCTGAGGTTTCCTCCTTTCCGATACCTCTAGCTTGTGTCAAATTGACATAAAACCATTCAGCACACCTAGTGTTTTAAATATTACACATTAATGACATAAAACCATCCAGCACTCTAGTGTTTTAAATATTACACATTAATGTGATGTTTCTGCTATAAAAACATATGAGACATATAGTGGTTTGAAACATTATAAATCTAAGTGTGGCATCAGGGAAATTATAGAATAGGTCATCTCAGCCCAGTGATACCAATAAGACACTCATAATGTTTCAGTTATATATAGACCAAAAACATTTGTAAGAATCTCAAATTCAGTTATGAAGTTGAAACAATAAAAGTAAGTATACTGCTGAAATCAGCTGCACTGAAATTAGCCAGAAGGGCCACACATCTGTATATCTAGGCCGTTCCCCGTTCCCCAAAGTTGGCATGCCATATCACTATTTTCATAAGGCTACAATTCTAAAGCTCTATCTATTCATCACCATCTCACTGGTTTCAAGCTTCCAACACCCAGCTCTTAGAGGACCAGGCTGTATGCATAGCACAGCAATTCAACAGTGACTCACCAAAACCCAAACAAACTTTATATGGCTAATTAATGAATTCAGTAAAGCTTCAGGATAAAATCAGCATGTAAAATTCAATTGTGTTTCTGTACACTAAAAATATTGTTTGAAAAAAAAATCAAGGAAACAGTTTTATTACCAATAACATAAAAAAGAGCAAGATGAGAGGCTTAGAAATCAGAGAATCAAGAAGGTAAAAGGTTGTATATTACTAACATAAAACATTATATGTTCTTCGACTATTACTGAACATGAGGCCTTTCATAGAGTGGTTGATATACCCAGTGTCACTCTATTGGAGAAAACTGATTTTCCCTCTCCCAGCAGGTATAAATGACTTGTTTTTTTGTTTGTTTGTTTGTTTGCTTGCTTTTTTTTTTTTTAAAAAGAACTTAAAGCTTTTTGAGAAGGGAGGAGAAAAGAACTTAAGAGATAGAAGAATATGATCAAAATATATTTAAATTTAAGAATTGTAGTTGGAAGTTTTCCTGTGTCTCATTTGGTCCACAGCCACTCAGACCCAAGGAAATACACAGAGGCTTATATTAATTAAAACTGCTTGGCCATTAGCTCAGGCTAACTACTGACTAGCTCTTACATTTATCCTCATCCCATTTCTGTTAATCTATATGTTGCCACATGTTCCATGGCTTTACCTGTGTGCCATTACATGCCGTTCCCTAGATGGCGGGCTGGTGTCTCCTGACTCAGCCTTCCTCTTCCCAGAATTCTCCTTGTCTGCTTATCTAACCTATACTTCCTGCCTGGCTACTGGTCAATCAGTGTTTTATTAAACTAGTGTATAAAAGCATTATTCCACAGTATTAGTTTTAAATAATAAAAATATAATAGTTAAAAACCACATAAACATATTTTAATGATGGGAAGAAAAGGCTATGGAATGAAAATGTACTCCACATTTTATGGAATTTCTTCAAAAATAAGGGAAAAAATCCTAAAACTCCCTTGAAGTCACAAAATATTGTAAATAACCCCAACAATCTTGAGGAAGAACAGAGGTGAATGTCTCATACTCTGTGATGCGAAAACTTACAACAAAGCAGCAGCAATCAGCACAGTATGGTACTATTAGACCATAGTCCAATAAAGCAGAGTAGAGAACAAAACTAAATCAAGCCTGATACAAGAAATTGCCCCTCAAAAAGTGTGACAAGAACCCATACTAGTACAAAATTAATCCCTTTAACAAATGATGTGGAGGAAGTGCATATTTAAGTACAAGGGAGTGAACTGGCTATTTTTTTAAACACTCTATCAAAGGGGGAAAAAGGATCACCTTCTGCATCCCATTCTTCCAGAAAACACTTTTCTAGAATTGTATATTAGTACACTCTGGATTTCAAAGTTCCTGACTGACTATGCTCAGTGTTCCACTGCCCACCTGACTGAGCTGCACATCGGTTCCACTTCTTTGCTTTCTCCGGTGTGTATCTATCTTACTGTTGAGTTTGAGTTCAGCCTCACAGCCAGGCATAGAGTACAGGAGCTGGCATGGGCTGCCCTAAGCCAGAGAAGATGCAGCAGTCCCTGTTTCCTTGTACTGCATACATACTCTCTAGTTGTCCTTGCCGAGCTGCTGAGGGTTTTTTTGGCCATTCCCCCACCATTACAATGGATGTTTGTATCAAGCATGGCATGTATATATCACTTTGAAAATAGGTACCAACTCTTGGGAATCTCATGGGTAAATCTGTTTTGGATTTAAGTCCACAAGACCAGCTATGCCCCAGGTTCCAGCCTTCCTCATCCATGTCAGGGAAGACATGGGGCTGAGCCAGGAGACCTTCTTTAGGCACCAGCCAGGTCATCAGGATCTATGCAAATATTCAATTCCCATCATATTAAGCCTATCCTCCCATACATTTGAGTTGTCATTAAAGTCCAGTGCCTGATGTCTTTTTGACTTGAAGGTATCTTCAGTCCCTTCAGTACCACACATCAGGGATTCCTGTTCACATGACAGGTGATGTCACTGAAGCTCCTAATGTACATGATTTTATATTTTAATTAATTTGAATCTATATGTTAGAATCTAATTTTTATTAAATAGTAAAAAGTAAATCCAACTCAAAAATGCATTTTGGACTTCCCTAAAATATATGAAATTCTAGTGTCTTTGTCAGTGTTCTATTGATGTGATGAGATAGCCTGTCTTATAAGATAAAGCAAGCATGGGACTTGCTTACAGTTTCACAGGTTTAGTCTATTTTCTTCTTGGTGAGAAGGCTGGTAGTGTGCAGACAGACATGGTGTTGGAGAAGTAGCTGAGAGTTCTACATCCTGATTCCCAGGAAGCAGGAAGAGAAAAATCATTGGGCCTGACTTGGGCTTTTGAAACCCTGAAGCCCACCCCTAGTAACACACTTCCTCTAACAAACCACCTTCTAGTCCCTCTCAGTTAGCACCACTCCCTAAGGACCAAACATTCAAATACAGTAGACTATGGGGCCATTCTCATGTGAATCACCACACCTACACACTTGAGAGACAGCTG